ATACGACAAAGGGGTTCTCTTTAGCGGTTAACGCGCAAACTTGTGTCTTCTGGGGGTTAAACTGGACTAGATTTAGTCGCCCCCAATCCGAGACTCTGTTAAGCAAAGACTCGACTTCAGACACAAGTTTGTCCGGGTACTCGGAGACGTTTTCCGGAGAAATATTAGCTCAGCCGGTGTAAAGAGCATCACCAGTGCTGTCATATGCATAGCAATGAATGTTACGGGTTTGCAACATATCAATGATATGCAGAAGAAACAGCGTTGGCGATAGCACGCAGCCTTGTGGAACACCAGCATTAATAGGCTTGCAATCGGAGCTTGCACCGTCTACAACGACCTTGATGCTCCGATCTGCAAGAAAGCTGGTGATCCAATCGCACAATTTCTAGGGAAGCCCATAGGAAGGGAGCTTCGAAAGAAACACTTTGTGCTAAACCCGTTCGAAGGCCTTCGCAATGTCCAAACTAACGGCCAATGCCTCCCCCTTGGACTCTACTGCCTCCGCCCATCTGTGAGTTAGGTAGACCAGAAGATCACCTGCTGACCTACCACGGCGAAAACCGTATTGGCGATCACTAATAAGCTGGTGATCCTCAAGGTACCTCATGAGCTAGAAGTTAACAATAGACTCCATTGTTTTGGGAAGGTTATGGCGATAGGCCGGTATTTGGACGGGTCTGAGCGGTCGCCTTTTTTAGGGATCGGGTGAACGAAAGCCGTCTTCCATGATTTTGGGACTACGCCTAGGGAGTAGAAGTACCGGAAAAGACGCGTTAGAACCGGTGTCAACTCTGGAGCACACGTCCTCAGCACAATTGGGGGAATTCCGTCAGGCCCACTCGACTTGTGGATGTCCAGGGAGAGGAGTGCTTTGCGAACCGAGCGCTGTGTGAACTGCACTTCCGGCATGGAGCACTCACACCGCGGGATGGTCAGCGGCGTACTCCCTCCGTCATCGAGAGTCGAGTTGGACGCAAAGAAAGAGCTTAGCAGATCGGCTTTCTCCTTTGCGGTATGGGCCAGTGAGTCGTTCTCCTTGTGCAGAGATGGAAGAGATGGCTGACAGAAATTCCCCTGGACAGCCTTGGCGAGAGACCAGAACGCACGGGTTTCAGAAAGAAGGCGAACTAGTTTCTCGCCAATTCTGCCTATGTGCTCTGACTTTGCCTTGGCAATGACTCTTTTGAAGGACCTAGAGGCGGAATTATACTTCTTTTTTAGAGCGCTGGTGTTTACATCCCGGGACGTTGATGCGTCAGCCCAGGCTTGGTAGCACTTCTGCTTATAGCATGATGCTATTTTACAGGAGCGACCAAACCATGGCTGAGATTTGTCTCCAATGGGCACCACAGAGGAAGGAATAAAAAGTTCCATACCCTGAAGTACCACATCAGCGACAGAATCCGCAACAACGTTGGGATCGTCCGGCGAGAAACAAACCCGCCCCTAAGGGTAGGATGCATAGAAAAACCGCATCCCATCCCAATCGGCTGACCTATAGTGCCAAACACGGCGGCAGCCTGCAGATCGCAACTGTGATTTCAGCGTCAGTGGCACCACACTCCGGACAAGACAATGATCCGAGGAGCCTAAAGGGGCGTCGACGGAAATCTGATATCCGTCCGGGTGAGAGGTCATCAGAAGGTCCAACAGTGAAAGTGCATAATCCTCCACATCTGGAATCCGCGTAGGCGAAGTAACCAGTTGTGTCAGACTATATGCCAAGGCAAAATCATGAACAGACCTCCCCGCATGATCGGTCGAACCAAGCCATTCGGCGTGATGGGCGTTAAAGTCGCTGAGGATCACGATCTCTGCGGAGGTATCGGATTTCTTAATCTTTCGGCGCCATTCACTTCGCTGTTAAGCATCCACATTATGCCGAGCCTTTACATGTCCTTAACAATTGTTATCCAGGAGTTTGCGGTCTCCCTCTCCTTTTTGTAGCCATGGAAAGGCACTTTTTCACGACATGGTCATCGGATCTACGCATTACTTGTCCGCACCGCCTTAGCCTGGACGCCGTAATCTTCTCGATAATAGGTGTTACTTTGAAACTCCCCTTACGTGTTCGTTACGCACTTTGTCTTTGAGAGTTACTCCATCCGCCCAACGAAACATGCGCATTTCAGTGGTATGAAGTTTTTACTCATAGATTTTATTCGAAGCCCACGTTTCACTACCATAGAGTAAAACAGGCCTCAATGCTGTTTTGTGCACGATTTTTTGGTTATTATCGGCATTTTTGGATCGCAGAGGACTCCTGTTAATGTACGCCACTTATCGTACCCAGAAATCATTCTGTGCGTAGGTAGGGTCAGCTGTTATCGATCCGTCTTCCACAACTACTGATCCGAGTTATCTAAATTTATTTACTCTACGTAGGGCTAACCCATCGAATTTGACTTCTACGTTTTATGGTGTGGAGTTGAAGTTGCATATCATGCACTCTGTTGGTATTGTTTATGCGCAATCCATTTAACTCTAGAGTATTCCTCCATTGCTTCAAACTTTTTTGTATCTTGTTTATACTGTCTGAGATAAGCGCAACATCATCCGCATATTAACGATTCTGTGGTGTGAGTTTCTGGATTTTCTCAGTTAGGTAGTTCATGGTGATGTTAAACAGCAAGGGGCTTAGTGCGCTTCCTTGACGAACTACTACTTTGATATCGAAGCTCTCCGACAGGCCATTAGCACATTATCATACATGTCCATAATGAGTTTTATATAGTACTCAGGAACATTTTGAGCTCTCAGTGCTTGTCATATTATGGTTTTCGGCACTCGACCAAAGTTCTCTAGATCTATGAATACCATCCACAGATTTTGTTTGTTTTCGCGAGCTTTTTCTACGTACAGTCTGATTGCATGAATTGCGTCTATTGTTCTTCTCTCAGAAGTAAAACCGTACCGATTTTCTGTTAGGTTAGTAAAGTTTTGAAGGCGTTAACTTAGGACTCGTTCTCAGATTTTGAGGATGTAAGATGTGAGTTTTATACCTCGATACTTTGCACATTCTCGAACATCTCCTCCGTTCTTGTAGAATGGGACCACTACACTCATTCTATAGGCATCTCGCATTTTTTCACTTTTCAGGATGCTATCAAATAACACATAGAGCCATACCTCTCCGTTCCCTTATAGAGATTTCCAGAGCTCAGCGAGTATATTATCTGGGCCTACACTTTTATGGTTGTTCATTTTGAATATGGCTCTTCTAACTTCTGCAACACTTATTGTTTACAAGCCCTTGCTTCGAAGGTAATTCTTTTTCTGCCTGGTAGTACTCGAACCATCTTTTACATATGTCCTTACCGTTTGTAAGTAGTGTACCTTCTTTTTTTTTTCAATGTATTTTGCAGTTTTAAAGTCTTTACAATCGTTATGTCAGTATTTAGCGATTTTGTATATGCCGTTATCAGTGGCTAGTTCTAAACGATGGTAAGTATTTAAATCAGCTTTTACCCTTTTAATAGCTACTGTTCTTCTTGCTGTCTTCTTTGACTCCATGTTTTTTTAAACTTCATCGGAGTCTGTTTCCTGCCAAATTTTAAACAAACGCTTCTTTTCAGCAACACTGTTTTTGGTGTGGTCGTTCCACCATTTTTTATCTTTTGCAATATGCAAGGGTGCTTTGCTTATCCCTAGCTCATGTTTTGCTGTTGTGACACATAGTTTTTCAAAGTTTTTCCACGTTTCTGTGGAAGTCTGATCATGGAGGTGCTCAAGTAATCTACAATATGCTTTCCTAGGGGAACTTTTATCTGTTTTTAGTTCGTGCCATTTAACTCTCCCTATTTTAACTCTTTTTATATTAATGGCTCTTTTAAGCTTCTGGTATGTTAGTCTATATTAGAAGGTGTGGGATTCCCCAGGCATAACCTTGCAGTCCTTTATTTTTTTTTTCAAATTTTGTTTATCTGTGTGATATATTCTATCTGTGTCCTCAATTTTTACTCTTATAGATTATTAAATGTTCATCGTTCTTTTGAAAGAACGTATTAACTACTACAAGATTTTGTGAAGCTGCGGATTCTAGAATTATTTCACCTTCATTGTTTGAGATAGTTACTGATTCGACGTGATTTGGCGTCTTCTATATAGAATATCCAATTCCAATTTCAACATTTTTTCTAGTCATTGTGCCAACGTTCCAAGTTCCTATGGCAAGTTGGGACATTGGCATGGCGTTTTGTTTTTTGATCTTCCGTACTACTGTGTTTACTCGTAGTTTTACAGTAAAATACGGGTCAATAATGAAGAAGCGAATGTCAAAAGATTTTTATTCGATAGCCAGGAAAAAGTTTTAACACTAATGACCCCGAAGAAAATTAGTACTGCGGTCAGAGATAAAGATCATACTAGACTAAAAAAGGCTTAACTCTCGTGATAAGTAGGCGAAGAATGACGTCAGCAGAAGAAGATTTAAATTCATAGTTCTGTGTATATTCGTACGTAAGTGTGCTTAAAATGTGTGCATTATGTGCATTGCCTATGCTATGTATCAGCTAGAGCATATACTTTAGGTTATATGTAGTAATACACTTATAAGTGTGTTTATACGTATGTTTTATTTGCTTTTATATTTATACCAGCTTGCCAGGCAGATGTTGTCCTGCCCTTTTCGACGACCCTTTGTCATGTCTTATTAAAAATCTTTAAATTCGCAAAAAACAAATTGTGGATCACTCATGGACTAAAAAATTCTTCTCTATATCTATCTCATCTATCTTATCTCTCAAGTTGGACCAAACTGTACACGGTGTGCAAATTTGACTAAAATCGGTTAAGTAGTTTAAGAGTCCATCTTGGACAAACAACGCGACACGTAATTTATATATAAGATAAACATATTTTTATTATAGTTGACTGGTAGAGAATACATAAAGGCATTAAGTCTGCTATTTGAATACTTTATGTACAATAAGGATTTTAAATAAATAAATAAAATTCAGCTTTGTGCACAAATAGTGGTAAAATGTTTGGGCACTCACACTTCGATGGCCTTGTTCCAGTTGATCACGTAGCCGCTGAGAGCGAAGGTCTCAATATTGACTACGTGCACGTTCCCACGCTCCGTGCCCACATGCATCCACTTCGACTGGAGCGGGAGGTGCAGGCAGGTAATCCTGGGACAAAAAAGACCATGTTACAAATGTGACACAAGAGATAATTATTTTTTAAACATTATTTTCGCGAACTTTTCTCTCGTACTCTCTCTCTCTCTCTCTGGTGAACTGTACTAATTAAAGGACGACGCTTTGATGACCAGATGGGAAAATTTTCTATAGAATACATGAGGATGAGTATTCGGTTTTACTGCCGACACTAGAACCGGAATACCCTAACACAATCTAACGGATTAGTAAGTTTAAGTGGCAATGGGCCGGCCATATAGCTAGACGAACCGACCACAGTTGAGGAGGAAGGTTCTTGACTGGCAGCCTTGTGCCTAACACTAGATGGAGTGACGACCTGTTAAATAAGCATGAAGTTGATGGATGCAAATGGCTTAAGCACAGATTTGTAAATAGTTGGCTTAAGATCGTGTGTTGAGCATTCTTTGTCCAGCAGTGGACTTGTGAAGGGCTGTAGTAGCATATTTATCACATAAATTAATTAGTAACAACTACTTAAAATTGACTAATTTTGACAACATCTATAAGTATAATTGGGCGTGCCTTAAGATCTCAATCGAAGCTAGTTAAATACGATAAAAAGTAAGATATGAAATTTTCATAGATGTTTCTGTTTTAATACAGGGATTCCTTAAAAGTTATGTACTTAAATATAAGAACTTATGAAATAGGGTAATAATTTGTTAAGAACTTAATTTCCATCGCCTTAAAATGATATACTCGTAAATCTATTTTATAGACCAATATTATCACAAGATGAAATAGAATCGCTGTCATAAAATTACCATGTTTTAAAAGCGGGTGTGTGCGGCGGTAATTTCACATCAAATCGTTTTTGAAATGGTTATTTAAGATATTAGGATTTTATCCTAAACCGAGTTTATTTCACACACAATTGCGGCTAGTTTTAAGTTTGTACATTTCCATAAATTCATGTAGGGGTAGTGGTTATTCGAACCCACCACTTAACGGGTAACGATAATAGTTCTTACTTACATATTCTTAAAATTTATTTTTGTTGGCCGTTGTCACAATAATATTAAAGACTGACTTCCATGAAATGAGGTTATTGTGTTCAAGTGTAAATATTTTGCATGTAAAGGAAGAACAAAAAGATGTTTCACCATCATCATTACAGCCTGTCACAAAAGTTCACCGCTGATAGGCCACCCTCTTATATTTCTTCATAGGGGGGACTGTTTGCCATAGTTGCCACGCTGGACAAGCTAGGGGAAAACTAAAATGTTAAATGATTGCCTGTTGGCCATCATTTAACATTTTAGTTTTCCCCTGCGAGTGAAAGTTTTAAAGATTAAAATATTCATTCAAAACAAATTTGTCTTATTTTAAGTCGTAGAAAGTCTCTGACGTAACTATTTTTTAAGACATAAAGTTTATATACGAGACGGACTTACGAGTATATCAGCATTTATTGGAGGCCGCAAATCTTAAAGACATTTTCTTAGGCCTTCAATATGGTTAATGGCTGTTTCCTAAGTCGCCATCACTAGGCGACACGAACTTTAAAAATATATGCAAAATCCATTGCGAAAATACGCAGTATTTTCTAATGATATTTAAAATGAACGTTTGTATTTTAGAAAATGTATTGCCTCAACGGGCAAGTTTATATCTACCACCGACCCGATGTAATCAGAAGGTATTATTAAGCATAAAACATTTTCACTTTGCCATAAAATTATCATTTTTCAGGTCCATAAGGAAAAACATCGTCGTGATAACATTACCGGTGCGCTTTTTGAAGGTATTTTTTTGAATATATTAATATTGAACGTTCCTGTTGAATTAACAGGAGCCGTGGGCTTAGGTGCTCAACTCTCTGTGTAAACTCTGAATGCGAGAAACCTAGCCTGGGTTTCTCGGATTCAGAGTCCATTTCATCATTCGAGTTCCATTTCATAAGGAGACCTACATGACTATGGAATAAAACGTTTTGATCACAGTTTTTAATAGAATATAGGTGACAAACGAGCACACAATTACCTCATGGTAAGTGCCCCATAGACAGCTATATTTATAATCTAATTAGAATAAAAATTCAGGGCAATTTTATACTATCGCGGTCCCCTCGTTTTTTGGCTCTAGAAAATCGAATAAGCATCCGATTTCGATGGTTTATTTTAAATTTTCATTATTACGGCGCATTTACGAAAAAAAATTACAAGAATAAAACAATGAAAACTTATATTGGTTTCAAGCCTTTAAATGTTCATGAAAATACACTCATTCACGTATATTTGCTGATAACTTTTTTAAATAATCAAATGAAGTTGTTATATTTATTTTCATAATCTACACAAAAAAAACGAACATTAAAAAATGTTCTTTTTATTGAGTGTAAGATCGAGCGATGCGAGCTCGGGACTTTGGGCATCCCGACTCGAACAGGTTAGGTTAGAAGGAGATGCGGGTCTAGTGAGCGAGCGAATAGACCCCGCTATCTCCTACGTGGTTATTTTTCTACAAACCACTCAGAAGTAGGAGCCCCGCGAAGCGGAGCTCCGTCGACCGGGCTTCCCTCGACTGCGCTACGTTGAGTGGCGTGGTGCTTCTCTCCCCCAACTCTCTCCCGTTCTCTCCTACTAACTTTCTCCTCCTAAACTAACCTGTCTGAGTCGGGATGCCCTAAGTCCTGAGCTCGCTTCATTCGATCTAACACTTAATAAAACACCAAAATATTAACTTTTATAATTATTTCGATTTTCTAGAGCGTTTATGATAACATTTAAAGTCAGAAAACCATATAAAAACTTTAAGTGGGATAAAAAATTAATAAACTAACATTTTTCAATGTTTCTTTTTTTCAAATGTTCGTTTTTTTGTGTAGATTAACAAAAAAATATAAACTTCGTTTAATGCTTTGCAAAAAAGTTGTGAACGATTATATTCGAAGAAGTGCGTTTATGATCACATTTAAAGTCATAAAATATATGAAATCTTGTGGTGAGATATTTTTCACTTTTTTCCATGAATTCACTATAAAGACGAAGATTTTAAAAAAAATATCGAAATCGGATATTTTTTCGATTTTCTAGTGCCAAAAAACGACGTGAGGACTAGAAAGGAAAGCCTCGTAGTTTTTAGTAAAAATTCATATGAAACACAGCAGTATTTAGTTGCTACTTAGTCAGATCAATAGTTCTGTAAAAACTTTTTTACAATTAATGATACACCTTTTGATAATTATATAGAAATTATATATGAAATGAAAGGTAATTTATTATAGAATACAATTTTACTTAATGCAACAGGGCATTCTCTACCAGTCTACCTCCAGGCTAAACATAGAAGATAATGTGGGTGTAAAGTGCAAACAGTTAAGTTAAAATATTAATGTCTACATATTTTTTTAACTTTAACAAAAAAAACTAAATACTTTTATTTATAGGCAGTGTAAGATAATCCACTACCTTATATCATCCCGCGGGTGTCGTAAGAGGCGACACAGGGAAACTGAAGCATGAGATGGCAACAGCATCTTCCTGATAAGAAACCAATAATGATAAAAGACTGTAGTTCTCAATTTGCTTGTCGAGTTTGTGTGTGTCCGTCGCGCTGCATTAAAGTTTGTTGACGGATTTCATATGTCTCTACCATATTTGTTTGACGTAGGAGTCAAGCTGGCATGTTTTCGCCAAGTAAATTAGCTTTAACTTTTTGCTTACCTTTGGCTAGACGAATATAGATTTATCACTACCATCCACATACTAGTACTACAAGTAAATTGTAATTTTATAATTTCAAACATTTACTAAATAACTATTTACTAACATTTATTGTAATAGCGGCTAAGAGACATCGTCAATAATCGGAAATATTTAAAAACTTTGGCCGTAGAGGTTAGCATGTCAGATAAGAGATTTGGTGGACGCAGAACTATCGCAGAACAATCTTGCGCCTTATAACCAAGGTGCCGTATCTTGCCTCTGATTTGTCTAGAATTTAACTTGAGATACTTACCAAGGCATCATAATTTTTTTTTAAATATAAAAGTACTGGTGATAGCACAGAGTCCTCGTAATGCAATACGGATACTACCAAGGCCCATAAGCATCTAAATCTATTACCGATTCAGAATCTAATTGCGGGAACAACCCTTGAGGACAAAGACGGCCTACTTCGATAGTGGCAAAAGCGTCTTCAAATCTCTATACTCTCAATACGAAACACAGCACGATTAAGGGTCAGTTCATACCGAGACGTAAAAATATAACTTTATTTACTACACATTAAAATACACATTCAGCACGAATAAGGGTCAGTTCACACCGAGACGTAAAAATATAATTTTTAAATTACTACATATAAAAATACACATTTTATTGAGATAATACTAAAATGCCCCGCTGCGTATCACGACGCAGCGTGACGCATCACGATGCAGCGGTGCTTTGTCGGTTGGCGTAGCGTGTGAGAGTGATGCGCTGCCAGCGACTTGACGATGCGTCTCGCGGCGACGCGCTGCGCAGTGCAAAACCACTGGCCACTTCAAGCATCGGCGCGTCGCGTCGCATCTCTATTTGAACTGACTTTAAACTGTTTTTTCAATCTGTATCCCGTGTGAACGTCGGTTCATCCCCGGTCGTGCCGATGAATTAGTACTGCAGTCATAATTTGGTAGTCCATTTTGGTTGATCCAGTAGTCGGTCAAGAAATAAGTTAGCATTGTTTCACCCACATGCATCGGAGAGCACGTATAGCCTTAGGCTTTGCGATTGATCTTTCACCGGTCTAGTCGGATAGCACAACACAAGTGGAAATAGAAACACACTAAAGAGCAAGCTTTATAATCCCGTTCTGCGCTATTGGCTAGTTTATGTTAATACTGGTCGCCGGAACCGTAATTCATTCTTGTGGACATTATTATTACTATCTGCAGTGTGATTCTGCCAAAATACAATTACATAAAACAGAACCTAGACTAACCACTACATTATAACTTGCATGCATGCATATCTATATAACTATCC